ATAATAGCAAGACTTGGTAAGGTGCTCGGTGACTTTTAGGAGCTTTGATGTGTCATATTTACCAGAACCAATTCTGATTTTAAACCACTGAAGTGATTTCTGAAAAGGCAAGATAAATTAAAACATCAAGATGAAAAAAATTCCTTGCTCTCCTCTTGCTAAAAGTAATAAAATACACAGAATCTGCATCACCTGGATTCTTCCCCTTCTTAAAGCCACTGCTTTATTCTCAATCTTTCAGGGTTTTTTTTGATTCTCCATAAAAAAGCCAGTGCAATTCTAGCTCTATTCCGAATACTAATGTATGTACTGAACAGCCTTTCTATTTTGCTACAGAGAAGCAGATACAATTTTTAAACATGGGTCACTAAAGTTTAACCAAACTCGTCAAGGAATTATTTTTAGAAATTAAATTGCATGCTGCATAACCATTCCCATGGATTAGAATCTGAAACATAATACCTATGTTTGTATGTTTTTCCACTGCTGTATCCCTGGCAATATTTTTCTTGAGAGGAAAAATACAGTAAGAAAACAACAAAAAAACCCACCAAACCAAACCAACAAACAAAACCCAGACCAGCACAACTACCACTGCCTGTTCAGGCATTAGAAAAGTTTTGTTTATAAAAGATCAGTGAACCTAACACAGGCACTCCAGTCCCAAGTCAAGTTGCATTCAAATAACATAATTAGACATATTGGAGGTGTATGCTCTCAAAATAAGAGTTGTGTTAAAAGGGAAATTAATGGGAAAATTGTGTCCTTAAAGGAGTTTCAAAACAGAATTGTTTTTGTAGACTCATGCTCTGAGTATATGTAGTGCAGAGATATTTACTTTTAAAATTATCATCTTAATTAGGACACCGACTGGATTAACTTTACAAAACAGCTGCATGGATTGCTTAAAAATAGAAATGATCACAGAATTTCCAAAGGAGCTACTACAGAGCTGGTATTGCATAGCTAAACCCTTACTGAAAAGTAAAACTTGCTTTCACTTTCGTATTTGTGGTTTTACTTGGTTTGTACACAAGTATCCTATAAAGCTCAAATGTAGTGTAATGATGACATTGCTTCATAACTTCTTTATCCTATCTAACTGGAGTAAAAACTTAAAACAGCTAACTACTGCACTCTAAGATAAATCTTATTTATTAAGAGCCTAAATGTATTCTTTAATTATAGAAATTCAGATTAGTTAAGGAGTTTCTTAGAACAGGTTTATGGTTATGAGTGGCTTCGAGCAACACCTTCACAACAAAGTTCGATTTACTTACGGAGCTTGTGTGCGAGTTGTATATTCTTTGAATTCACTGTCATGTATGGTAAAGTATGGCCTGAAATCACTGCAGTACTTCAGCGGTGAAATACAACTGCAAGGAAGAAGGAGGATAAGCTTGTTGTACGCATACAGTGCAGAATGTCACCAGAGAAACAAGCACATGTAAAATCTGTAATTCTTTGTTATATTCAGATCTAACGAAGTTGCACTCAGCTGCAACCTACGATGACTCACTTGGTCATGACTTAGGAAGCTCCACTACATTTACCTAACAAGTGCCAACACTGTTTCTGAAGATTCTGATGGCGAAGGTGCCATCACAACAAGTGGTTCTCCTAGCAGCACTAGCTCCCAAAGCATCTGAATGTGAAAGAACACTGGACAGAAACACCTGAAAAACAGATGGAAGTATTTTAATACACTTAACATAACCAGCAAAAACAGGCATTTGATTCAGAACTGGATAAAAAGAAAGTTTGCTGTAGTATTTCACAGTAATTTGAAAAATATAAAATACTCCTGTAAAATGAAGCATTTAATAAACTTATTTATTGCCTTTTCAGTCTGCATGTTGTTGGAATTATTTTTTAGCCAGCTTTACAGAGAAAGCGTATTAAAACCAATACTGATACATGTTAGCTTGCAAACTATAAGATGTGTTATGGAACTGTCATAAATATTTGACTTGTGGGAATTCACAACTAGGAATAAATCAGTCCAAACTCCTACCTGAAAAGATCTACTTCATGAACAGTCGGTAAAGCCATAGAGATCTGAGCATCTGCCTAAAAGACATCGCAATGCTTGTTTTTTAGTCATCAGAATACCTAGGTATTAAATGAAATAGTTTCCCTTAAATGCTTACAGAATTGCTTAAAAGTAGATAGTACACCCTAACTATTTATCACTACTGTACTACTGCAGCATGTACTACATACTCCACAAGTAACTATCTCCATGTGCTGAAAACAAGATTTCCCCCAACATCCACCCCCCACTTACAAGCATGTGACTTTCGGTCCAGAAATGACACAAAACACTGAAGCTGTTTTTAAACAACAGCCACGTAGCACATGAAGGCACAGACAGATTTGATTTATATCCATCCTTCCATGGCTAAATATTTTAAATTTGGTTATCATTCTCAGGGGGGGAGGTGGGGGGGGGGGAAGTTCAGTATCATTTCACCCATTAAAAAGGCTGTTCAAGTCCTGTAATCTTGTCAGCCAACTATCCTCCTCCAGGAGCTGTAAAATTAGGAGCACCCCTAAAGTACTTGGGGTAACTGGGTTAGAACACTTTTTCTATGAAGCATCCAACTCGAGACTCCTGCACTCACAGTTTCAAAGACTGTGGATTGCACTGTTGTCAAACCATAGGAGGATTTGCTATCAATCTTTTATAAACAAACTTCAAGGAAAAGAATAAAAGGCAGGTATTTAGCCTTCTCTTTGAGTTACATACAACAGAAGTAGCTAATCTCTACCTGGTGCATATTCTGTACTACTGGCATTGTTCCAGGCTTGTCACGATACGTTGGAATCCGCAACTTTGAAAGAAAAAGAAAAGACAGACTTTTTTCCTGGTATCGAATTCAACAGACTCAAAATGCTGCCTTACAGATGAAATTTAACATTTAAAGAGGATATACCGACTCTACAGAACATCCACATAGAAGACAAGACATCGCTGAAGACTACCGACCACTGCTACAGGAATCAATATGCAATGGTGCATAGTACTACACTGCAAAGTGATTATTAAAGTAGGAAAACTCTATTTCAGTTAAAAAAGACTATTGATTAGTCACAGCTAGTACAATAATTTCAATTAAAATAGATTTAAATGCTGGAGAGAATGATCTTAAATAAGGTTATGGGACTTAAAGGTGGTAGAGAATTACCTTTACAAAAAATCCTCTCCTAAACATCAGACATCCTGGTAGGTATTAGGCAGAATACAAATACACTGAACAGCACCAGTCTCTTTCTGACCCCACAGTCTGCATCTTTAAGTCTAGAGTACTACAGATTTAATCATACTGGAAGCTAGTGTGCACAAATAGATGTAATTTATACCGCCCAAACATTATAAAAAACCAAGGACAATACTACCAAAGATGGTAACCATGGCTTCACTCAGTTTAGAAACACAATTTCAACTCTCACAGATAAGAATTACCAATGAGATAAATGCAGGCAATACCCAAACAAGACATACCTGACGCTCATCTTCATCATCCAGAACACTGCTTTATTAAATTTGTGCTTTCAGAACTGTTTTAGAAACTTCTCCTTCCTCTCCCTGCTGATGCACATGCATCTAGCCATCACCTTGAGAGTATCTGCTAAGCATGTACTTCCAAATGTAACCCCTGAATCCATCAAATCCATTTAATTGCATTTCATAGGAAGATACCATGGCTCCCAGAGGCCCAGTTCTTAGCCACCATTTAAGCTCTACAGTTCCTCCGCATGCACTAGATGTAACTTCTCTAATAGCTTTCTTCAGCCATTATCACTTACAATGGAAATTATCAACAGACTAAGAAATTAATTTCTGGCGTGTGGGCCAAGAGATTTTTACTTGTCAAACTTCAGGAACAAGAATGATTTTCATCAATACATTTAATTTGCTTGACTGTATTTTCAAGTGCTACTTAATGCTGATTTGACAAACATAATTAGCATTAAAGTATCCCAGAAAGCATATTCCAGGATGACAGTATAGACACTGCTATTGGTAACTGTACTGAAACACCTCCTTTTAATAGCTACAAAAATCACACGTTAACCTAGGCACCATAAGAATTCCATCCCTGATCCCCCCAGTCAAGTAACCTAATCAGGATCTCCCGGACCTTCACTCTGAGTGGAGTACACATCTATGCCCGTTCTGAAGTGTGACACTGAAGACAAATCAGAATACAGCGAGTACCTATACAGCAATGGAGGGGAAAACACCTTCAGAGAAAAATAAGGGTGGGAGTATTTACCTTCATTATAATACCCATAATAGGCAAATGCAGTATTTTCCCTGGAATTGGTGGTGGCCAACGATCAACATCACTACAAACTTGAAAAAAAAAAAGTATAACTTAGAACTAGATGATATATGCTATAGCCCATGATGTCATAGTCATCTTTGTGCACACACCAGTTGTGAATCAGTGCTGATAGGCCACAACAGTTTGACTTATCTCTTGATCACTCTACAGTCCAAAGAAGTTTTACCGCCTTTCTGACACTCTTAATGCATTATTTAGTTATAACTATAAAGGCTTTCATTTCAAGAAAACAGTATCCTCTTGTGTTCCATTCTGTAGCAACTAGACTCGCCATTAGTTGAGGAAATGTCATATGAGAAACCATGAAAGCACGTATTAAGAAACTGTTACAAGAACACACCCATTTATGTACATTAGCTACTGTAGAACAGACAGACACAAGCAGCTGAGGGAAAAGCTAGCTATCTAGCTTGGCTAGAACGTTGTTCAGCATTTTGTTGTAAACAATTATAAGCATAATTACTAATTCTAGGGGTTTCTGCAGACCTTTTTTGTTCATAATGCAACCTGTCAAAAAAACTGTTTATCGACAGGTGATTAGAAACAACAATTCCTTCATGAAGAATGGTTTCCACAAATTGCTGTTCAGTGACAGCACAAAGACACGGATGTTCTATGGAGCAGACACAGTACAAAAGAACACAGCACTTCTGGGCAAAGAGCAAATAACTTTCCCACTTGGCCCGCTCTGGCTCTTAAAGCTCTACAGAAAGGCTGAAGCACTTGTTATCAGTGTTGCTCTGCTGCTTTTTCTCTTTGGTCAAAGAAAAACACCAAACCAAAAACCCCCAAGCAAAAAAACCAAAACCAGCAGTCTAGATGACATTTGTACAATTGCTTAACAGACATTGTCAGAAAGGCCAAAAGGACTCAATCTGTAAAGAGTGTAAATTAAGAATTTTGCCATCAGCTACTTGTGCTGAGCAGCTTGCCCTGAAACCTACAACAAAACCCTAGGAGTTGTTTAGAGCAGGAACTTCAACTCTCCTATGGTTGCTACAAAACCAGAATCAGAGAGTCATTGAGGTTAGAAAAGCTCTTTAAGATTATGGAGACCAACCATAGATTAGCTCCGTTCAATGACCCAGAAATCAAGACAGTTTGCCAAAGTTTCAACCCTCTACCCTGCAAGAAGACAGGAATGCAAATGGGAATGTGACAGTGTGGTGGTGGTTATTTCTCCAAAAGGAGTATATGATATTATAAGAGCTCTTCCAGAACAACTTAATAGTACCACTACCTGCTTCCAGGAAAGCTTCACTTTTTTCAAAGTATTCTGGTGCTATTTGCTTAAGTACGGTGCGAAAAAGATGGACATAAGGTAGTTTGCTGATGAGGACCAGCGACTGGAAGAGAGTGACAAAAAAACCCAAATTAAATTAACCCTTTCCCTCAGTTCTAATGCCGTTCTAATAGTTATGCTCAAATTACGTCGTGTGACTTTTCTCACACATGCAAGCCAGCCACACATTTGACTACAGGCAACTACAAACAAACAACTCCCCAAAGTTCCCAACTTTTGTGTTTATAATGCACAAAAAGAATTTTATTCTGACTGTGCAGCCAGAACATAGCGTGGCTGATGTAAAATTAGATCAATGTACTACAAATCAACAATGAATTTAGTTAAGAGAACAAGATACTTTTCCTACTCCTCTGAGGTCACTGAGAAATAATTAACCTCTGAATTAGTATTTTCCTAAAAGAATTGAAATTACCTTCTGGAAGTAGCCTCTTTTTAACGATTTGTCTCGAACTTGTCTGAAATACACATAGCCATAGTAATATGCTGGATCTTTCTGCCGAAGAAAGGAAAGAATTCAATACAACAACCTAATACTGCCCTTTTTTCTCAAGCATTCAATATGCATTTTAAAAGCTTATTTCCCCACAAGCTCCAAAGTTGATTAGATACAGTAAACTAGAAGAATTACTCTGTTTATTGGATTTTTTTTTTTAAATAAATACTTCAAAGAGAAAACACCAGTGTGTGGAAACAGCTGTGCTTTCTGGCTTTAATATTTTTATATCTACATTCTCCTGACACATCATGAAAGCAAAAATAGAATTAATTTCCTGTGGAATAAATCAACACTCATAATTTTGCAAAGTAGCACTGAGAAGATCTTAGTAGTTAGAAACCTCAAAGCCCTGACTTGAAAAGATAAAAACTAGTCTTTCAATGTATTAGTTTTATAAAAGATTCTTGATGTATAAAGGAAGCATGCACTCACATTTCTAAAATAAAACATCAGCTTCACCCATCCTATTTTTTTTGTTTATTATCGTGACAGTGACATGCTACAAAAAACATTTGCTGAGTTTTGTCTTTTAGGACATCCAGTTCAGAGATTTTGCTTCTCAAGCATTAAATTTAAGTATGAAGACCCATAAGTTAACATTAGCCAGAAGAAATTAACTTCATTTTTTCTTATTTCCAACCTTTAGGTAAACTGGTAGATCTCTATCCAATTGGTCCAGAAAACAACACAACGAAACTTTCCTCCCAGGAGACCGTCGAAATCTAAAACAAAACTGTGTGTCCCCAAGACAACCTACATAGGGGGAAGAGATAAACAACAAATAGACAGTATTCTAAGTATAACCCTTGTTTAACATGAGGATTTGTCTGCAAGAGGTAAAACAGTTTCAGTTTTTTTACCTTACACGTCTATTGTGCCCTGCTGTTGCAACCATTTTTATATTTATATTTTTCTAAGTGAACACTGGCATCTTTGGCAACAATAAATAGCTAACCTTCAACAAGGAAAAAAAAAAGTCTCACTCTGCCACACAGTGAGTTCATTAGACTGTCTAATGGCTGTCCTCCTACTGTTACTACACATTTTACTGGTCTGCCTGAATAGTTCTGATTATCTTAACCACATGTCATTTCTCTGCTGAACGACTGCACTTAACCTTTATTTGACACCAAACAGGTCATACCTAAGTCACACCATAAGAGCATAACATGCTCATCTCTTGTAACTCCATATGCAGGCCTAGGACTTCGCATTTTTGAAAGTCATAAAACTTTTGGAACATAAAAGCTCCAAAAAACTTTTAGTTCAAGTAGAAGCTACGTAAGCTGAAGAGAATGTGCTGCTCATGGGAACAGTGATAAGGGGGACTGCTAGAATCTTAGAACTTGGAGGTGTGCCGGCAAACCTGTAAAAAAATCCCTGCAGCGTTATTAACATGAACACAGTCAATGGAAAGACAACCTCCTAAGCATTGCCGCAGTGTGGTAAGCAGGCTATCTCCTCTGGAACGCCTATAGATACTGTTAATAGCACTAAGTTCCCAGCCGGCAGAGGACACTTGCTTCTCCATACTGCATCTAACTTCTTCATTAGTTCTTTGCTCTTACTGCTTTGGAAAGTAATTTGCAAGCACCAGCAAGAAAAAAATCATGAAGTGACTACTGATCACCTGGATTGCTCAGCTGTCCTGCGTTACAGCAGCCAGTGCTGACTAAACAGTAAGGCAGAGCTCCATCCTCAGATGACTGTTCTTCAGACTTACAAGTTCTATTTCGTCTTTGCTTTCAGCCACACGCTTACTGCTAGAGCAGCAACAGACAGCCCAAACTCTCCGTCAAATCCACTGACTGTGCAGGCTAACGCTGGCATGTTCAGAGCATTCAGCTCCAAGTCTTAGGACCCCTTGAAGTAGCAGCAGGAAACCCATGATGCACCAAGACAAAACAACAAGTAGCACAACACTGTATGATGGGATAACCATGCAATTCAAACAGATAACAAAGCAAGTGCTCAGCAACGCGGATCCAATCGTAACAAGAAAAAACACAGCACATGCCAATAGCAATGCACTAAATATTTGCTCCAAGTTTTCATAGCTAGTTCCCTTCATCCAAAGTAAAAAAAAAAAAAAAGCCAACCTAATATAAATAAAATTATTCACGTAGGACCTAAACCTAAATTACCCATAATCACTAATGTGTTGAAGCATCATTCAGAATATTAGGGCTTCTTATGTAACATGCTATTCCAATACATTAAATTTAAAAAGCTTGGTAAGTTTCTATTCTTTCTTCAACTATCCATGCAGAAAAGGCACAAGAATTATTTTAAAGTGTGCTAGCAAACAGTTTAAAAAACACAAAGTGTCATGACCTACTGCCTGATTAAATCTATTTTCCCCTTAAATTCATGGCCCCAAGTCCTACCATGATTATCTATCCAGAGTTGTGAAAGAAAAACAGAAGAGTTGAATTAATCTTTGAGTCGTGGAAACTCAGGAAAGACTGACCTTAAATTTAGCTGCAAGCTTAACGACTACCTTGGCTGCTACATTACACAAAGCTTTTCTTTCTATATCACGACCTATGATGAAAAGTAAATCGTAACAGACAGCATACACTCCCAGCTCATTTCTAGAACACAGGTTTTAGATAGGTAATCGCTCTACATCATTTGAAACTTCAGCCTGCTAAGAATCATAGAATCATAGAATCACTAGGTTGGAAAAGACCTTAGAGATCATCCAGTCCAACCGTATCTGTCCACCACTAAACCAGCTCTCTCAGCACCTCATCCACCCGTCTCTTAAACACATCCAGGGATGGTGACTCCCCCACCTCCCTAGGCAGCCTGTTCCAGTGTGTGATAACCCTTTCAGTGAAGAACTTCTTCCTTACATCCAATCTAAACCTCCCCTGGCGCAGCTTGAGTCCATTCCCCCTCGTCCGATCACCTGTCATTAGGGAGAAGAGACCAACACCCACTTCTCCACAACCTCCTTTCAGGGAGTTGTAGGCAGTGATCAGGTCTCCTCTCAGCCTCCTCTTCTCCAGGCTAAACAAGCCCAGTTCCCTCAGTCGCTCCTCATAAGACATATTCTCCAGACCCTTCACCAGTTTTGTGGCCCTTCTCTGGACATGCTCAAGGACCTCAATGTCTTTCTTGTAGTGAGGGGCCCAAAACTTGATCACTGAATGATCAAGAACCTGCAGGTTCTTAATAGGGATGTTCGAAAGAGCAAAAAGGTGGAGGGGTTCTCCTGTTGAAAGTAAACCCTCCCTACATACACCTAGTCTGCCTAAAATAACTTTAGTAGCACTCTTTTTTGGAAAAAAAACCCAAACCAAACAAACTATTACCAAAGGAAAATCAGCCTTTGTTCCTAATATATAATTTTCTACCTTCAATACACGTTTTGAAGGTTGGACAGTTATAACCAGTAACAATAAGAGTAGTAAGAAAATAGAGTTAACTCCTCTTTCAATTACAGAAAGAAGCTCTTTCTCTATTTACATACAGGGTATCAAGAACAGAGAGAATATCTTAATTTTAATAACATTAAGACAAAGGGAGAAAATTAGCCAATATACTTTATAAAATTACCTAAGAAAGAGCTCACACATATTAAAAGCACACACCTGCATCACCCTGTATCAGAATTGTTATGCTGCAGAGCAACCAAAAGCAGACTAAGAGCAGTTACAGGGACAAGTCTGTTTCTACAGGGTCTGACTTTCATAAAGAAATCAGTGTGAAAGGAAGCGTCTGTACTCCTGCCATATCTTTTCGCAGGTGGTCCAAGCCCACATGCCTCCAATTTCTCTTTGGCAGCAGAACAGTAAAGTTTAGATTAAAGAAGAATTTAGCACACAGGACCACACACAACGACAGGAGCACTAGGAACAGAGGAGATAGAAGATAGCCTAAGTTTTCCCTTCACAACTGTCCTTTCTAAACATTTCTGAATGTAAAAGTCAGTTTCACTATTACGAAATTAAAAAGCATACTTTTACTCATTTATGAGAAGATGGTCCCATACCCCATCCATTAAACCATTCAAATTCTGTGCCTACACTTCTCTCCACAATGACAGTACTGCTATTTTGTTTAAAAGCAAGATTAAGATGTTCATTCTTTAGTTGTATTCTGAAACATCTGCATGTGTCTCATCTGGAACATCTTATA